AGACGATGTTGATCAAACTAATTCCTGCGTGGTTTTCACAAGATGATCTGTCACCTTTCTTGTAAATCGGCATGATCATCGATTCACACCATTCTCGTTAACTCCGAAACCATGGCTGAATCTCAATCCTTACAAAGCGATGGAACACTACACCGCACCTCTTATGCAGCTGGTCGTCCTAGGATGATAGAAATCATATGGTTATTAGAGATGGCATGGAAACAATGTGTGAAGAACTGCACAGGTGTCTCTCGTCCTACTGACTAGTATCAAAAAGGTGCTGTACGTGGTTGATTGAAAACATTAAAGAATACGGGAACATACCAAACACCATAGCCTGCTTACTGTCCGTTCTCACGAGCCTGGAGTGCTTTGACGATTTTGTAAACACATACAGATTGTTCATTGTCTGTGTTGATCAGTGTTTTATTGTTTCCACCCCTCCCACTCGTAATCCGGGCTAACTGGTTACCCATGCGCACTTATTTTGCCTACATTGTTAACTTTAACCCTACTAGCAAACTTCACTCCATTGAATTTGGTTGTACACTGAAGCGAAGGTGTATTTTTTAACACGGATTCAAAAGTAGAATAGTCTTATTTTCCAAGTGGTACACGAATTTTGCGTGCTATTCGATGTCCTCAGCATATATTTTGTTTGCTTGTTCTTCACAGGGAATTCGATGCCGATCTGGTCTATTTCACATTTCCCTATCGATATCGTTTTCTCGAGTTCTATCAAGAGGTAAGTGGTGCCCGTTTGCTCAAATTAAGTATCCAGTGCTTGCTTTGAATTGCCTGACCCACGAAAAGCAGAATATCTTTTTACATTCGATTTTGCAGATACTTTACTTCTGTAGCTCTGTTGGTCTGACGAAGAGCTTAGAGTTTTAACTTTTTGGCAGAAATCTTTTCATATGAAATTATTTACCCTGCGTCTCTTAGAAGATGTGGATAATCGGTTGTCTGGTAGACTGGTGCTAAGCGGCATTTATGCGGAGATTGCCTAAGAGATGGGTTCCAAAGTTTTTGGTAATATCTCAGGTCGATCATCATACTTTCGACTTTTTCATAAGAGTAAACTTGGGCTTTAAAATGACGCTTCGTCGATTGGTGATTGCATACCACACAGTGGAATTTAGCATTCATTTTATGATTACCAAAAATTTTTTGATCCATGGTGAGTATATGTTTCGCGATAAAAGTGTACACGTTAGCGTTGAGGTAAAGAAAAACGAAAGGATTACATGGCAATAAAAATTGTGTAAAGTTGCGACAAGCATGGAGAAACAGCAATGTTACGTAAATGAGATTTCCAATCTCACCAATGGCCAAGTTAGGAAATGTAAAAAACACTCATGACAGTAAGAAAATTCCATCCCCCGACAAGTCTGCCGTGTCACATCTAAACTGCCATCTTTTCACCTCCATCTGGATTCCCAATAGCGATAGCAAACTAAGAGTAAAAAGCATAAATACACCCAATTGTTTCTTTTTCAATGTCTTAAGTTGGTAATCAATATTTCATTGCAGGAACTTATTGACAGTCTCACAAACCTAATATCAGTGAAGAAGACTAGAGTAATCACCAAATCCACCATCTGAAATTCACCTATTCGAGTCCGCACAAGGAAGTGACTATCTATGAGGGACTTATCCTGGCGAGATCATAAACGTCTTGCGAATGTTGCCGCGTGGAATAATTATCGTATACTGAGGAACCACTGCACCAGGCTGATTCGTGAGAATAAACTGAAATACCAAAAGGCGCTAGCACAGAGATTCATTTCTAACCCTAAGCTGTTGTACAAGCACGTTAACTCCATTCGGCAAGTAAAGTTTGGTATACCGGACCTAAGTAGTGCTGGAAGAGTTGCAGCCACTCGAACGGAAGCAGCTGAAAACTCAATATTCCATCATTTACGCAGCACCGCAGGTTGAAGGTTTACAATTACCACCCCGGTTGCAGCATCTTTCACATTCCTCTCTAACCTACGTTTCATCTACTGCTGAAAACGTCAAATCAAAACTAATGGCTTTACGAAAAAAATGCAACCCCAGGTGCGAACAATATACACCCGAATATCTTGATCTTTTGGGGAATCACATATCGGAACCGCTAGCCATTCTGTTCCAACGAATGTTCGACCAAACAAGGAAACAAGGAGTTATTTCGCCCATATACAAAGGTGGTTGTCGTAGTGACCGCGCTATCTACCGACCTGTAACCGTGCTTCCGGTGTTATCGAAAGGCATGGAGTCAATTGTGGCAGATTCTCTGATGGAACACCTCGAAAGATACAACCTCCTTTCGACAGCTCAACACGGGTTCAGCCAAATCGATCCTGCTCCACCAACCTACTTTTTGTTCGAGGTGAATGGACCAGAATAGTCGACGAAGGGGATGCAGTGGATGTGATTTATCTTGATGATCGGTTAAATCACCCCATCTTGTTACAGAAGTTCTACAGGTGCACGAAAGTTCTTGGTTAATGCTTGGTAAACTGAACAGAACTGCACTACAATTATGGCATTCGAGATTTCATTTTTGATTGGATTAGACCATTCCTGTACAAACGGAACATAACAATTCGTGTTCTGATTCCATATCCGAATTTATCAATCCCACGCGCGGTGTTCCACAAGGGCCAGTACTCCGTCCCCGTCTGTTTCTCGCATTCATAAATGCGCTACCGAAGGGGTTAGGTTCACTACTTTTTGCAGACGCCGCAAAAATCTGGAATACAGTAACACAACCGGAGGGCTCTAACACTTCAAGAATTACTTAACACAGCTTATCACTGGTATAAGAGAACAAAATTGAATTCAATATTTCTAAGTGCCAAGTCTTATCCCTAAGCCATAAAAGAAGATTCTCCTATTTCCTCGGAACCTATTTTCAGTTTCAGTTTTTACAACCATTAACCATGCACTTTCGTGCGCCGGTTTTGGTTGCCCATTTGGATAAAAGAGCAAGATGTAGATTGGAA